GGACCCAGACAGATACTTAGTCAAGGGTAAAGAGGATTAACCTTTTCATTAAGAAAAAACACATTTTCTCAAAAAAAAACCCCAAACCTACCCAAAAACAACGAAAAAACACATTTTCTCAAAAAAAAACCCAAACCTACCCAAAAACAACAAAAACCTCAAACAAACAAACAAAAAAACCCACAAAATGCTTACAATGTTCCCAAGATGCCCCGAATCACAGACCGTAGGCAGAGTATGTCAAATTCTTGAAGACTCAAGTCGGAACAGTCCACCTTGGCACTACTCTTATGTAAATGATGGGACCAAAGAGAGTGTATGCCTACTGTCTTGTCTTGATAACAACACATCGCAGGGGGCGAGGCAGTTCCCTCAGAAGGGCATTTACAGGAGTCACAGGTTTACCAAAGGTAATTCTAGCTTTGGACACCAAGAGGAGAGAGGAGGGTAGTCAGTGCATATCACCGATGATGTCCCTCACAAGGCAGGTTTCTGCTTTGCCGTCAGTCTCCAAATGGTTCTCCACCATAGCTCCATCCCCAAGCAGTGAGGATACAGGTAATTGATAGGCCACATTAAAAAAAAAAAAAAAAAAAAAAAAAAAAATTACCCGGGGACAACTGCTGCCACTGCCCTCGGCAAGTAGAAGCAAGGAAGAGGATACTTCCACTGCTCCTTCCCTAAGGATAACTGGGCATGGTCAGCTGGGAGATGCCTCCAGGCTGCTGGAGAAACATGAGAAGGAGGGAGCCTGTGATAACACTAACAGACTTCTAAGAGAAGCAAGAGACTTGCAGCAAAATTAAAATCTATATTCATGGTGGAAAAGAGTCTTTGACAAACCTCAGAGAGACAGCAGGCAGTTGGTGCAAACTAGAAAGACACTGAAAGCTAGCTCATACTAGAAAGAATGACACCCGCATGCAAAGAGGGCAGAAGGAGCTTCATTTTTCAACATTTTTTAGATTCTGTTCTGATACAAAGTATTATTCCTCTACTTTAATATTTTGTGTTCTAATAGCATCCATATTTCACAGGCTGGAAGGCTGCTGGTTTAGCCATTTAAAAGAAAATGTGGGACAGTTTCACCTCAAGGCTCTGGTCAACTCAACTCCATCATTTAAAGATAGATGTATACACCTCAGCCTTGCTATCTAAATTCTCCCCAAATAGCCCATCAACATTTTCTCAACTTTCTCATTTTTATACTGACGTGCTACACGTGCACAATTCCATGTCAGCATACCAAAAAGATAATCTCATGCATCCTTACTTATATGTCAACACTTATATCCTTATCCATTCCCCAAGTCCCACATACGCACAGAAAAAATTATGAAATAGCAGAGAGGAGTCTGCCATATGCAAGTGTTCTTTGAGGAGCAAATGTCCATATTTACCTACTGAGATTTAATAAAAAAGAACAAAGTCACGCACAATCTGTTCAGTTCTGAGCAAGGTCAACAGGTGTGCACCTTGTTTTCCTCATTTATACTAATGGGAACAAGTACCCTGAACCAGCATAGACACCTGATCTTAAACCCTGCGAACCCAGACACCACCTAATCTACTACCAGTTTGACACCATGCAGAGAAATTTCTCAATGAACTTGGAAAGCTGTTCCCACTTTTATATCCGAGAGAAATTATTGATCTCCAGTTACCTGCCAATATCATGAACGTATTTTTGATGGAAAGAGCAGCTTTACACATTTAAAGGATGGAATGTGTCCATTTTAGGCTTGCTTATTCTTAGGTAGTTATGTTTCTTCAAAGAGAGAGTGACAGTTCGGATTTAGATATACTGTTATGAAGGAAATTGATTACTATATTTGGCACATCCACATCTATTTTAAGTCTAAGCTGCACCGACCTGCCCTGCAACAAGACAGTGACTTTAAACCATCTTACTCGTCCCTCTGTTTGCTGCAGAAAGCCACAAGCTGAGGAGAACTGTAAAACCACAACATCCTGGAGAATAAAACATCTGAGCAAGGGAGGGAAAAAATGTAAGAGCATGTGCACACAAGATATGCTGCAAACCCCGGACTGTGTTTTTTGGTCTACATTCTGCCCCAGAGCCCACTGAACTCTTTTAGGTAACATCAACACCTGTGGGAAGATCATCAAAGCAGATTGTTTTGCCCTTAATAAAGGAGCTGACTCCCAGGCTCAAAGCACATAAGTAATGTGAAAGAGAAAATCCAGTTCAGCCAAGAGAGCTGAACTAGCTATTGCTCCGGAAAGGCTTGTGCTGAGAGGACAGACCAGGTAAATCCCAGTTGCCTTAGATTGAAATGGCAGGAAAATAACCACCATCACAACAAAAAAATACCAGTATTACCAGATGCTAATAAATTTAGTGCAGTGGATCACCAACGCAGAGAACCTCAGTCCTACCTATAACTGAGGTAAAAACACTATAAAACCTACTTCTGAAGAATAACATAATAGCAAGATACAAGAGCACATCCTCCTCAGCCATCCAGACTTCACAACAACCATGCCAGCATTGCTGCTGGCAATGCAGTGAAACAGTACATAGTTTAATCTATTTTCAAGAAAAAAAAAATGTATTTGGTCTATGTGCTATCAAAGGCCTAGGCTATCTTCATTTCCCACTAAATCCTCCAAAGTCAATGATATTGTTTCCTCATTTGAGACATGGTTCCAACACTTTTATGAAGATTACCAGTATCTTGCCAATCCCCAAAGGGATCAATGAACCCAAACAATCCTAACTTTTCAAATTACATTCCACTCTGTGTCTATGAAATCACTACTTTAAGACTGTAACAGAGATATACTGGGAAGCAAGCTCCCTACAAAAGGAAACTAAAGCATATTCCACATCATTCTCTTCCCCTCTGCTCCCCTTTTCCAAGATGGGTGGAGAACCTTTATACCCAGCCAGCGTCCCTCTTGAAAGTCTCCTTATTAGCACAAACACCAGGGGTTCTCCATCAATATAATTATTGAGGTCCCATTCTTCTCTACCCCTCATCCCCCAGTCAACATACTGGTCTACCTTTGTGATTAACCAATTGTTGTATTTCATTATTCAGCAAAAGGGAATGATGTGAAATATCTACCCGCAGTTCTTTCAGCCATCAGTCAAAACCGATCTTGTTTTCAAAGTACTTCAAGCACTTGACCAGTCACACAAATCCTTCACGTAGTAGCTTTAAGTTCATTCCAGCAGAAGCCAATCAAAAAACAAATGGTGATAATGACCACCAAGTATCTAAGCTACAATTTTCTTCAATTCTCCTATAAAATTGAGGAGACCAAACACTACAAGACCAAACACCAATCTAACATTCCAGACAGAAAAGACAAGTAAAACATAAAAATAGAAAACATTCCAAAATTGAACACAGAAAAATAAAACCAGGAAGACCAGACACCCTCAGCTGAGATAATTAGCTAAAGAAAAGGTGGTTTTGAGACAGAAGCCAGCACTTTATTAGACTTCAGCAAGTCTGATGCCTCCAATATCAATGTTTCACTTGTTGTCCATGCAAGCTTTCACATCAATTAAAGCTAGCCCCTCACAGCCTTAGCATTAGAAGATAAGTTATCACTTAAAAAAAAATCAGACAGGCTTCCATACAGAATGCTTAGATCATCCTCAAAGTTTTCCATAAGGTATCTTACATTCGTTCTGCATAAAAACCTCTTTAACAAGACTCAACCTAAATTCTGAAGGCCCACTAAAGAATTTACATTTGTCCTTGGCTAGGCCAAGCAAAACGAGCCAAACCAATGTGCCTTATCAATGATGCAAGACTGCATCTTAATTAAAAACTCATATCCGGACACATTAATGCATAACCCCACAGATAAATGCCCACGTGGATCTTGACTATATTCAAAGCTTTATAACAACTTTTCAGGATTTGTCGAAAAATATGTACTGTGTGAATTAAAAGCAGTAATTAGCAATCCTTCTTCCTTCAAATTTGTTTCCTCCCAATCAAGATGGTTGCATGGAAAGATTAAAAAAATCACTAAATTGAACAAGTCCATCATAATCAAATCATTTATTTTTGTTATTGGAAGAAGAGAAAACAAAGCTATTCCATGAGTCAGAACGAAAAGGAGATTTGTACTTCAAAAGAGCTACCCAGTAGATTTAACCTCATGGGAAGATACTAAAAAAAAAAAGTTGTGGCAATTATGAATTATTAAGCCACATCTTTAAGAAGAAATATGCTACCCAAAGCTTCAAGTAGAACAAAACAATTTTGTAGCTCTGTTTATCTACATGGATGCAGAATTGGAGATCCTTTAGAAGAAAGCTTACCTTTGAAATAGGAGTAACTCCACCTTCACGTATTTCAAGATGCAGACTGCACACTTACCCAGGACAGCAGAAACCACAGGATTAGCTGAGAAATGAACAGTTATTCTATCACTACGCCTGCATTTTAATTTCCTAATCTTAATCCACAGGCATTCAGGAACATTAGTTAAAATGCACTTACATAAATAGCTTGATGTCTTTCTTCACAAAAGAATAAACAATGATAATGGCAGTTCTTTTCTTATATTCCAACCATAAAAAGAAGTAACATTAGAAGGCCACCAACATTATTTGCAATGCAAAACTAGGTAACCCTATTTTCTTATTAAAAAAAGCAGCATAGCCTATCTCCTTCAATATTAATATGCACTTTTGATTTAAAAGGATAATAAATGCAAGCTTTGCTCAGTTAAGGAAGAGATACCTTTACAAGGAACAAAAAACCAGTATCAAGAGTGTTTTCTAAAAATATAGCAAGGGTCAACCATCAGTGTGGAGAAGTGTTCACTCCACAAGTGCCAAACTTTTAATAACAAAAAAAACATTTATTACAACAGAATATTACAAACAACTAGTTTCAGTGATCAAAGAGTAAAACTATACAAAAATGCAAACACTGTAATTTCCGATTGTGGAGCAATAGATATTCCAGGTTTACAAACACGACATCTTTTTGTTTATGCACACTTAAAAGTGATTTCCAGTCTGCTTTATTTTCCATCAAATACAGTACATTTATCCAAACAAAAGCATGTACATTCAATATAGAACATTTTGAGCAACAGCTACAGTCCAGTTCCCATTCACAGTATTTTTAGTGCAATGCACTAACAGGGCCAAATATTTCTCTATCCATAAAAGTATTTTTACTCCTGATCTTGTGATCAACATTTTTAGATATATTTTATACAAAAAGTATATATGAACACGAGGCACCTCCCTAAGTAAGGGAGTGAACCTATATAAAAAACATGGTACTTCTTCTGATGTACAATACCTTTCAAATTGTAGCAATTTGACACAAATCACTAAACAAAATATTTTCTAAAAAGTAAAAAAAAAACCCAAACCAAACCACTGATGCATGAAACCTGCCAAGAATTTCATAATGGTAGGCATGCGACTGTTTTACTACAATCTTGATTAAAAGGTTAAAAAAAGGCATCTAAAACATTTTCCAAATTATACAAAGTCAAGTGCTACCTATAGTGGTCATTCATGATCTTGAGAGAAAAAGTATTTTAAGTCTCTCCCATACTATCCTCCCTTTTTATTAATATTTAATGAAATAAGCTAACATTGTAAGTGGTTGTGCACAGATTGTCTGTCTATAATACATCAGCAAATATTCACTACCTTCATATTAACATTAGTGTGTTGATCTTTCAAAAAATAAACTGAAAAAATAAACTGCAACTATCATTAAAGTGCTTGTGTATAATTTTTTTTTTAAAATTAAAGAATAGAGGAATGTGGGTATTCTTGTAAACTTCCTAGATGTTTACAAAGTTTTCCTATGAACCACATATGGAAACAAAATGGAGATCTTTTAAGCAACTTCAGTACAGTGAAATTCAGGATGTCCCAGAACTGGGAAATTAGTCAATATGAACAAACTGATGTTATGGCAAATACTAAAAATTAGTACAATTCAGCCAATATACACTACATTGTTTGCTCTTATACATTCATTTGTAATAAATTTAAAACAGTATATAACACAACATTTGCCAAAGTAGGATATCACAAAAAAGTTAGAGCTGTTCATCAATTAGCACTACCAGGGAGGACCAGTATGCACGATGAGCTCTCTGAAGATGATTTCCTAAACGAGGAACAAAATCTTCTTCCAAAGCTGCTGTTCATTAACTTGCCTCTGTACTTTTTTAATTTCAGAAAGTTCGTTCTATACTTTGTCAAACCTCAACTGCATAGAGATAACTGCTAATTTAGAAGCACATGTGCATTTCAACTACTTCGGTGTTTTGGGAGGAGGCACTGTCCTACAAGCAGTCAGGATGGTTATTAATTTAGTAAGAAAACAACAGCTTATGAAAATATTTCCTCCTTATAGTACCATTATCAAGATATTAGCGGTTCCGCCAACAAACTAAAGTCTTTTTCATTCAAATGAACTCCAAACTTTCCGAACATCACTTGAACCTATCTGAGGAGAAATGGGAATAAATTAATACTTTCAGTTTACCCATATAATTCTGTTTTAAATTACACAACATAAATAATTTATAAGGCTAAATTTTTAATTCTTGATCAAAATGCAGAAGTCACTCCTCCTCTCAAATTCAGCATAATTCAGGGTCCAGCTCAGTTCATTTTTGAAGTTCTGCCCCACTTAGCCAGGATTTGTTACGAAGTCACAAAAGCACCACATTACAACTTAACATAGCTGGGTGGCAATGCACTACAAAAGCTGAACTCAAATCAAATTACCTCCTGGGAAATAGCATTTCAGAGTTGAAACATAGAACAAGGCACATATACTTGGTTTTCTTTTCACCAAATATGCTACTAAGATAATTCTGAATAAGGATGTTAAAAACTCTTATAGATATCACTACTGTCTCTCTTCATTACAACCATTTGTACAATCCCCCAACCTTCAGGCATCAGTCGGTCATTCTGAAATACAAACTGACCGCATACATACGTTATTTCCTTTTTTAAAAGGTCCTTTTAAAAATAGGCCATCTTTAACATGAAGGCTATGGAAAACTGAGAAACTACGAATACAACCCCTCCAAGTGTAAAAAAATTCCCAGAGTACCATATAAGCAGAAGTTTAGAAAATTCTTGGGCAGACTTCTACATATATTTAGGCTTAAAACAAAAATTCTTGACGAGACTCGAACACTTGAGAAAATAAATGACGAGAAGTCTCCAAACCCGTGCTTACATAAATAAGCATTAAAAGAATCAAATCCTAAATTTGATGATTTTAAAGGTGTTTGTAGGCACCTAACTCATACTGATTTTAAACCAAAGCAATTAAGCATCCAAATTACATTCCAAAAAACTGTTCTATGTCCTTTTGCTGACAGGGCATAGGCAATACACATTAAAATTAACAAAAACAAAAAACAAAAAAAAAAAGCACGACTGATAATTCCAATAAGTTCATAGAGATTTTTTCTGTCAACAGCTTTTACTGTAGTACTTTTAGTACTTCTTGAGCTGGGTCACAGAGAAGTTAATTAACAGGTTAAGTGAATCAAACCAAACAAAAGTATTGTTAAATTTAAAAAATTACTATTTTAGAAATGTAAGTATATTAGCTTGATTACAATAGGTGTCTTAAGACAATTTAAAGAGTTGACTCAGTATAATCTATATTCTATTCCAACTTCCTACAGTGACAAATTTAGAAATTAACTCTTTTCCAAAACACTAAAAACAAAATTTAACAAACAAATTTCACATCTACCTTAGCCGCTAATCCATAAAAATCTATGGAAAAGTATGTTTTCAGCAATAAATCAACAACAGCAAAAGAAAGGCAGTGGGTTTGTTTTGTTTTTAGTTTTTTTTTTTTTTAAAAAAAAAAAAAAAAAAAAAAGACAAAACACTTTTTCTTTTTCCTCACCAGACAACAGCTTTAGATCTTGTGCTTCTGCCTTTGGTTTTATTTTCTTCAGGTGAATGAGATACATTTGCTTTGTGGGTTTTCTTATGATGTTCTAGAAAAGCTTTCCTGGCAAATGCTTTCCCACACTTACTGCATCGGTGCAGAGAAAAGTTTTTTGTTACTTTTACTTCAATGCCAACGTCAGCTCCTTCATACTTTTTATTGGGAGAATTAGAGGTGACATCCTGTTTTGAACCAATCTGTTTTGTTTCATCCCTCTGAGGGCCCCTTTTCGTCACCTTATTTAGAACAAGATCAATTGGCTTTTTTATTGCTCTAATTTCTAAACTTGCAGTTATTTTCCCAAGGTAGCGTGGTGACTTTTTATGAACTACAGTTATATGCCTTATCACATCACGTTTGCGTCGTGTTTCGTAAGAGCAGAGTGGACACCTGTAGTATTTAACATAAATGTTATTTCCATCTGTGTGTAATTCAATGTGTTTTGTCAAGTTCTGTTTAGAAGTAAATTGGCGTTTACAGAGTTTACAGTAAAGCTGCTTGAAGTCAAAGCCAGCTGAAAGTTTTGGCTTCCTGGTTTTTTGCTGGCCACCTGCAGCAGATGCATTGGTTGATTTAGAGGTTGATTTAGTGGTTGATTTACAGGTTGATTTAGTGGTTGATTTAGAAGTTGATTTAGGGTTTTCAGGGTCCTGTTTAACTTTATTTTTCTGTGCTGACGGTGTGCTCTTTTTCTCATTTGAATGATTTGTTCCCTTTAATTCATTCTGTGGAGAAAGGGCAATGGAAGGGGGTGAAGGTTCTACAGAATCTGCTGGTTCAACTTTTACTTTTATTTCTGTGCCATTGGCAGTATTGTTGGGTCCTTTCTCTCTTTTAGAGTTCTTTCCAGAAAGAGTTATCTTGTGAACAATTTGCATGTGCCTTTTCAGCATTATTTGTGAACTATATTTTCTCTTGCACAGAAGGCACTTGCATGCAGTTAAATTGTATTCAGCCTTTGAAGACGACTTTTGTTTTCGGGTCTTAAAAGATTTTTTAGCAGAAACTGTATCCAAGAACAAAGGTTGCCCAGGCTTTGTAGCTATATCAGGAGTAATGGAATCCCTTCTTAATCCTCTATGAACTTCATCAAAATGCCTCCTTACATTGGCTTTTGTAGCAAATGATTTATAACATACAGGACAACTTCTACCTAATGTTACAAGAACATTCTTATTTCGTCCTTTCCCAGAGCACTGATTTGGTTTCTTTTTTGTTTCTATGTACTTCTTTAGCTCTTCCATCTTTTTTTTGTGCACTTTTCGAATGTGCCGGCGTACACTGCGTCGGGAATGAAATTCTTTCCTACAAAGGCAACATATTAACTGGTGGCCAAAATCAGAATTATCCAGAGAGTCCAACTCAGGATTTACTGCTGGAGGCTGCTCTTCAGGAGTAGGTATCACCTTGTTTGTAACAGGATCAGCAGGAGGTAATTCTACAGTCTCCCCAGCTGGGACTGGGGCTGGAGCTGAAACAGTCTTGGGTTGCTCAATGCTGGGTTCCTGTATCTGTACTGGAGCTTGATCAGGGGTACTACTACTTTCTACGTTCTCATCTGGGCTATCAGTCCTTGATACATATTGAAATACAGCATTCTGATTAGTTTCTATAGGTTCCAATTTAATTACATATTCTTGCTTATCTACCCTTGGATAGATTGCTTCCAGGAGGTCATTTATGGCTTGACTCTGTTTATCATTTATATCCGGGAGGTCTGTGAAAAGAGGCAAAGATTTTTTTTTAATGATTTGGTAATTTCAAGTTATTTAAATCTCAAAGTATCTTTTAACCACTGTGTCAATTCAGTCACCAAATTTGCACAAATCCTGTATTTGTACTATTCTTCTGACCATTTATACTTAGAGGCTTTGAGTAATCATTGTTATCACATCAGTACGAGTTACTTTTTTATTAAAAGCCAATATTGGAGGTACACCCTTCTAGCGTGCTAATGTAAAAGCCACCTAAACTAAAAATTAGTTTGCCTGGAATTAAACTGATCTTTCAAAATCTGTATCAATTGCAAAAATAACGTCATACAACTGAGCTTGCTCTGCAGGTGCGCAACTAAGCCTGAAGTATCATTAGAAACTGATTTTCCTATTGCTGGAAATAGGCATTCTCAATAAAGGAACCTAATTCTGGAAATGAGCTCTTCTCTGTGAATTCTGAATGGTCCTTAAGAAAGAATGAAACGTCTGTGTAACCTGAGCACTGCACGAAGATGTAAGTAGACAAGAGAGAACTTAACTTCCAGGACAGGGAAAGCTTTTAGTAATACCAAAGCAGTTAATAGGCTCAGTGATACGGTAAGATAGTAAATGTTAAAGACAGAAAAAGCCTGTATTATTCACGGGAAAAAAATTGTACTAATTTCTCAAAACAGTAAAAACTGAGCCAAAGAAGTTATTTTAAGAAAGAATAACTTCACTGAGGTTCACCAAAGGTTCATCCTGTGTTCTGCCCTGATAATGAGTTGGAGCAGACTTAAAAAGCAAGAAAGAAGGATACAGGGATTCTCCTTGTTTGTCTGATGCCAGTAAACTTCTCAAGCTGAAGTTTGCCTTTAAAGTACTGTTTTAATACACCTAGATTCCAAAAAGTTTATTCAAATGCTTTTGAAGCATTTCTATTCTTGGCTACCACAACGTTTAGCAGTGGTTTTTTGTTTGTTTTACCAGAAATACTGATAATTTTACTGTCTGGTAATTTTGCTGGATACCCCACAGTTTTTGTATTATGAAAAAAAAGAAAAATAAAGGATTGCTCCCATTTACCTTCATGTCATTCATGATTTTACAGGCCTCAGTAGTATCCTGTTTTTAAATGCCAAATTAGTTCAGTGAACTAGTTCCCAGCATGATACGCTAAGCATCTACACTGGTGTAACTAAGAAGCCAAGGTGCTACAGCAAAAAGGTGAGGCTCTGAGACGATACAGTTCAAAATTATCCACAATGATTTGAAGATGAGATTCCTGGTAACAGCTAATTAAAAACCCACACTTAGTCAGGGTTGTTCTTCCACACTGCCAACAATACATGAAAAGAGTGTCAGTACAAGATATATGCTATTTTGCTGCTCAGAACCCATCTTTTAACACTGAATTTTTAACACCTTTTGCAGTCAGTTTCAAATGGGACTATCTATATAATTTTTATCACGGGTAAAAAGTCCTTCCTATTTTATAGCAACTTTTCAGACTACTTAATGACTACACTAACAGAATACATCTCAAAAAAGTCATCAGGGAATAGTCTTTGGAATTTTTCACCATTGGGATGCTGAACTTTTATTCTACCTCTCATTCAGTATCTTTTAATTTTATTTATTGAAAAAAACCTCCCACTTTATTCAATAATTATCATATATTTTAGATAAAATATAAGTACTTATATAGTTTTATTCAGAACATGAAAGTGAAATATGAAAGCTAACCAGCGAATTAAATGAAGGCTAGAAAGTCAGGAGCTGAATGGGAAGTCTTTACTCAGGGTAATCTTATTTTGCTTATAAACTTTTGCATCTAAGTCAGATGCACTTCTAACCTTGCTTTGAAAATACAACTCATCCCTTTTCACAGAGAAGCTCTGTGACTTTCTGCAACCGGCCAAGCACACTCATTTAAGGAAAGTGACAGTATTAGTCTTTTCACCTTCTCTTTCACAACATGAGCTGACACAACGTGGGAAAAGAATCGCCTGCATAAATTTGTCCGTTCCTAATTTTTGAAATATTGAGACAGGAAGGCATTAATCAGGAAAGAAAAATCTTCATTGCACCTATGTTGATCTAGTCAAGAGATCAAGATAATTAGAAAGCTTTACAAAACATTTTTGAATGCTGGCACATTTTCAAATCATTCAGCTTTACTCAGATCAACAAAAAGTCATCACTGGAATGAGACTTTAATAAATTTCTTTTTCCATAAAAATATACTTCTTTATTTTTTCCTCATTATTTAAGTTACTTTCTTTTAATAATAAAGTTTAATTTCTACAACAAAGGTGGTGGGCTAGGCATGATCACATGGAATATCTTAAAGCAGCGTAAGGTGAGATGATACGGTGGGAGTTAGTATTATTGAAGCACAGGTCCTTAAAGAAAAGGGTGAACTTTTAGTCTGTGTTTCATAATGAGTAAGACTGAAGGATTGCGTCCATGACACTGAACGCTTCCCAAGTACAGGGGAAAATTATGGATATTGATCCAAGCCACTTTACAGGATCCAGCTGAAGTCCATCAGAGCTATGCCGATCTAAAACTGAAAAGCCTTGTTAGATCCACACTTTTCTATGAGATTCATGTCCCAGTCCTTTGGCATACTTTTCGCTATCTTTCACAGTAAAGAGGGAAAGCCAGGAAACAAAAAGGGGAAGAAGGAATAAAAAGTGTTAACAGTGACACTTTTCATTGAAAGGCCGGATGTATAAACTAGCTATCAAATTATGACGTTGACATGGGCCTCAGTTGTTAATGCATATTAAGTCAGTGCTGCAGCTTCTTTACTACCATAAAAGTGATCTACCTATGTTACTATTGAGATTTAATTCCACTTCTTTTTGTGCATTTTGTTTCTGGTGTGTTTGTATAAATGGTACAGAAAGATAAGTTTCTCAACTTCAGATAGCTTTATTAAATATTTCAGTTAGTAAGACTTACTATCATCCATCTGGAGACTTGGAGGACAATAAAATTTTTTATGAGTAATTAAATTTGGTAATCCTCTGAAGAGACTCCGGCACAACTTACACTCAAAAATGGTGTCCACATCTTTTAACAAGATATGTTTAAGTTGTTTAGTTCCTGTAATAAAAGAAACGTTACACTTAAGGAAGGTTTTCTGTTCATCTTTTAAATTCACATCATCCCATGAAAGTGGAAACATTTTAAAACATGACAATTATAACAGCATTTTATCTTGTGTTAACACTACTTTTTTGAACTGTAAGTTTATGATACATACTCCAAGTTTCACTATGAAAACAAGACTAGTTTGAAAAAAAAAGTAGAAGTCAAAGATTACGCACATTACAGTTTACAGGGAAACTGCGATGATTTACGATAAAAACAGCTAACTTTAGGATGGAGTCCATACTACAGTATCTGGTTGCTGCAATACAATTGCCCAACAGGAAAGAATAAGCACCTACAGCATTTAAAGAAGCCTGCAGTATTTTTTCTTTAAGCTTATCCAACAGTGATAAGAAAATAAGATATATACAGCTATTTCATGTAAAAACAGCACCCAGTAAGGCAAAAAACTAGAGCATACAATAAAACAAAGAGCATGATTAACAGGTCAAGAAATGTTACTACATCTAGGTATCTGACCCAAGATCAAGACGATGATGCTTAGGCAAGAAAGTAGTACTGTAGACATATTTTCAGCCTGCTGAAAGGAAAATACATATAATTTAAGTCAGAAACTTTTCTATTAAAATATGCAGGTTTTCCAGACTATTATACATTGTATATTAAAAAAAAAAAAACCAGACACAGTTTGATCTAGCATTGTTGATGTATTCCAGCTTCTGCCTTACTTAAACTGTGAATCCTTTAGTTTAAGTTACACTTCAAACCCACTCCTTCATTTCTCATCTCACGAAAATTATGAACGTAATGCCTACAATTAGCAATGGATTACTAAATGATTAATACTTACCCAACTCCAAATTAGAAAGAAACACTAGCTAACCAAATTCAGCTAATTTCTCTATCTTGATTTTTTTCTTATAATGGAATAAATCAAAATTAATCAAAATCAATCAAAATTAGTCCAACAAGCAAGAATATAATGAAACTGGACCAAGAATAAGTAATATCAGACAACTATGAAACAGCATCAAGACAGTCTTCAAGCTGAAATAGAAGTTCAAGTTTTCCATCATCACAGACACTTCTTTTAAGAATTCCTTTTAAAGATCAAACCCAGAGTCACACTGCAGAACTATTTCCTAAACGCAACTCTTTCAAATATTAGTAATTTCATAATAACTAATAATTCTTCAGTATGAATGGGCCTTACCAAGACAACTTTTCATTTCTTGGTGTAATAGCAGTACTACAAAATTTTTTACAACCGAGTTTTAGCAAAGCACGGTGTCGTCTCCTTCTTCAACCATTGCTTAAAAATGGGACCCAAACTTGACTATCTGAGGCTACCGTCCAGTTTCTGTCCCCTCCTATGCCTTTCCTGGGCCACAGCCCTAGCCTCTTGTCTCTTCCTCTCACTGCTCTTTCTTCAAGTGTTACTAACCTCACCTTCATCTGACTTGTATTTTTACAAACGGACTACTGGACAAATATTTAGATTTAGTGAAAACCCCAAATTTAAAAATTGTACAGAGCTCCCTCAAAAGCAAGTTGTTTACTCGGATCTCACCAACCACTGTTTGAAATTCTGCATATAAAGAAAACCACTGACAAAAACCTAGCTGAACAAAACTGAAGATGCTCCGTGTAGATAAAATTCCAGTAAGTTACCAAACGATGACTCAAACAAAAGGCCTCCAATTTGGTGATAGCACACAATAAACCAAAATTTGGCCATGCTGTTGATGCCTGCCCTAGCCACAAACCCCTCTCCCAAACAAACAAAAAAAAATTAATCTAATTCTCCACTATTTCCCAATCAAGGGACACACAAGTCCCTCATTCTCTCTCCTGTTATACTGATATTTCAGTCTCTTTCTGCTCAGGACTGAAATGTTTTTGTCTAATCCAAATTATTGGGCTTAAGAATTACTGGGCGAGATTAAAGGATTTATGACATACTGGAGGTCAGACTAGATGACACGGTAGTCACCCTGGCTTCAAACCATCCTTATGCAACTATGAAGCTTTTCACTGGTGGGAGTAAAAAAATAATTGGTCCTTTTGAATTAAACTGTAGACCTTTAGGGACTTCTGGAAACAACAAGTAAATTTAAAACATCCACTGGTTTTGTGGACACAGCAGGCAGAGAAAAAAAATAATCATCTCCATATTCTTCACCAACTGCAGATTGTGGCAACAAGCAGTCAGTCTTCTGCCAGCATATGCCGCCTCCAGCTTACTGAAGCCTTCTCTATTTTGCAGTTACATCTAATTGGGACAGGTGATACTTTGTCAAATTCTGTTAATATTTGTAAATGTTGACGCTAGAATAACATCATAGTCACAAGAAATCAGTACAGAACATTGGTTATTACATATACTTCACTGGCAGAAATACCAATATTTATGCCTTTAGCAAACAATTTCATTTTTAGAAAAAAAATTCAGATTCAAATTCATCTGTTATTCTTAATGCTCTGGATGACAGAAGTTTCTGCTAAAACCGCTTAAATAGTTATGGACAATATGCTGGCTTTAATCTCTATTTCTTTACCACAAGAATCAAAATAGTTTCTTTCCATACTGAAATATTGCTTGCTCAAAACTAACCAGTAAAATCTTGGTCTAAGTCCTTTTGACTTCTGTCCAGCTTCCCTGGTGCAGATGACTGAAGATGTCAAGGTAAGCTATCAATTTAACACCTGCCAGTGAGGACAATCTGGAAGTAGCCCAGAGAGAACAGTACTTGCAACTAGTTCATGCTATTACCAGTAGAGATTCCATTAATCTGCTTCAAGCGAAAGAAGCCTGCCACGCATATCTGAGGCCTTAAGCAATCTCAACCAAAATAAAAAAGGTTACTAATGACGACTCTTACATCCAGTTTTTCTTCTTGTATTAAGTTGTTGAAACGCTAGTGGAGAACTTAAATATTGTGCCCTTTTACAAAACTCAGGCCAAACATGCATCCCATTACATAGCAGCGATGATTTACACATGAAACATTTCATGTATGTAACAGCTCTATGTGGAAAAATCTAGAAACATATAGATAGTAGCATTAAAGACATCGCTTTAATTTCTGTAATAACTGCTGTGTTCTTGCACCAAGGATTGCAAAAATAAAATGTTTGGTTTGCCATATCAGAAGCGTAGAAACAGCTAGAAAACATTAAAGGTTTCAATCATCTCTGGCATGCTCACCCAAATGCTCAGTTGTTATTCTTAGGTTCATTGCTATATATTGCAAGTCCCGAAAACAATCAAGGAACACCTTAAAAGTAACATGATAAAGCAATTCTAAAAAATTCAAGGTAGGCATTAAATTTTCTCTTCACCTCAGGAGTTTTAGGATAAACTCATTAATAACAGCAGGAGGGATGACACAAAGAAGAACAACAAACTAATTTTTAATGTTTTTGAAAGATAACTATACAGCAGGAGCTGTATCTTCGCTACTTTATATGAAAACCCTTATTAAAAGGAACAGCACCTAATTCCAAAAACCTACAAACAGTTTGCAAATATGCAGAAAGTCAGGTGTTCGTTATTTTAATATAGTAAATATACATCACTTTTAACAAGGTAATGAACTTCTTAAGAGTCAGACATAGTTTCATACCTGATCGAAAACACTCAATGATTTGTTGAATACCGGATTTTGATGTTTGCAGAGGCTGCTGTAATAACGGAGGATCACCAGGTTCCAACAGATGCACTGAAATATATAAAAGGACAATAAGTCATTAGAGAACACTCAGGTGATTTTTATTAAGTTATGGATTTTCTGTGCATACAGTAAATTAGCTAAAAAAAAAAGAGGCCAGGACTACAGTAAAAGTTGCCTTACTCAAAAATTTTCATCTACATTGAATTAAAAAACAGTCAATACTGGATTTTCCAGCCATGATACCTGACAGTTTGCTGTCATTTTGATTATTTAAAGAAAATGTGTATTCAAAGCTACGTGTATCAAACACAAAACCATATAAATATATACAACCAAATTAACTCACTAGAAATTTCCAGCAATTAAAGCAATTCCCCAGAACAATCTACTTGACTCCCATCATTCAAACGGAAACAGACGTACAAAAAAGCATTACCAAATACTATACTTTGCAGCGTACTATGTGATTTCAGTGTTGCCAGTACGCACCTAAGCACTGAATCCAAATTTAAAGTAGCAATGATCAGAAAAAAGCACAAGCATAACTACGTAGTATATACCAAAAATAGCTATTATAATACTTTTAACCAGTAAAACCACATTCAAGAAATGCTTCTGGTTCAAGCAAACTGCTGAAGTAATACCTTATTTCTGAAGTTTCATTCCACATCACAATCTTTGTAAAATCTATTGAAACTAAAACATTTATCAGGATGATTATTAGTTATTCCAATACATAGTATTTATGCATATGAAAATTAATAGCATTCCATTGCTGTATATGCATATGGCAATTAAGCTTTGCCCAGAGCAAAAAACAAATTTAAATGAGTAAGAGCACTTATTCAAGCATGTGTTTGCAAAATCATTAGTTAAGTCTTCTTTTTAATTTCTTATTGACAAAATAACTAGCTTCGTACTTCATAAATCGGCTCCTACCTTATCCATTTGGTCTGATTTTTAATCCCATTGTAAGGTTTCCATTTTTAAATGAAGCACTGAGCATCTCTAAGAAATTTATTTTTGATAAAGAGCAGTAGAGGCAGAGCATAAAACTATTTAGAAATATTAAGTACAAATAAGTTAAACACATTTTGACAGGAAAGTTGTTCTAAAAGATGTAAGGTTATAAATTCAAGCTGGAAAGAACATAAGAAAGAAAAGCAGTCTAAGAACGATAGAATGAACACTCCATCCAACTATGCTGGCCCCATAATATACTATTATATAAACGAACACATAACAACCATTACAAATCAGCTAATCGTTTGGGGATCTCTAACACAATGACATATTGTATTCTACCAGCCTATTCCCTATTCTTCAAAATGGTATATTTTGGTTTGTATACTGCCTCTAATATGCATGTGCAACACCCACTGACATCAAGAGGAGTGACATACGTGAAGCAGACATAACACATCGCTGATATTTGTAAAGCAAGAAAAGTATCTTAGCTTTTATAAAGCATTAGAACAACTCAAAACCATTTCATCTTAAACAAAGAAATGTTTCTACTAGCTGAACAATACCTACTCTCAAATTACATTTAATTAAAGCAGCATTATGAAAGTTGCCATGCTCACACTTTCAACTATTAATTCCCCAAACTGATGCCTGTCTTTTCAAAACACAAGTGAAAGCATCCAAACAACAAACTCTACAACAAGCCAACAAGAATGGAACCAGATTTCCTTTTAGGCTACCAATTAGAACAGTAGTCAGAACAATTACAAGAAAATCTAGCAAGTTGGCTGAACCTTCAAAGTATTCATTGTACTTCCCACTGATGGCATCTTCCATGTCACACAGCAGTGGAATGCAAACAGCCGTTTCAGGACTTGGGTTTTTTTTTTCTCCTCTGAGAATGAGATCTTCGAGTTCATCAGAGCTCACCAGAGAAGATGTAAAGTAAAAACACAAACAGCAAATTCAAGAGATTGCCAGAAACGTCATTTTACAAAAAATTCAGAATATTACACTTTTAGGAAAGAAAAAGGCCAGTTGTTTTACACAACTTCTTGCCTTCCTCTGCTCACTGCATACAGTGTCCATGTGGTGGCTTGGGGATTACTGCATATCCTGCAGGAACTGAGAAATTATCTTCCTGAAATAATTTCAACATGACAGTTCAAGGATATCAAAAAAACATTCCCAAACAAATTTCAGAAACTTTTTACGTCCAAAACTGTCGCTAATGATGCACATTTGCAACATCACAACAGTTTCCCCAAGCTTTTAACGAAGGAGCTAAGTAAAACAGCCAAAGCATCACACACCTGGTTCACAGCATCCATGGTGACGGTGGTCAGTCTGACAACACTTGTCCCTTAGAGGCATTTTCCGTGCACGCGACCTACTTTCCTTCTACATCCAGCAGCTCGTTTCTGCTAAAATAAGCAAATTAGCTGTCACCCCCGAAGAACAGGCGGCTCGGGAGAGCGCTCACCTCGCACGCCCACTTCCTACAACGGCACCGCCAGAGCCG